TGCGTACCATTAGAGAGATTTCAGCGGGCATGAGAAATACTGGTTAAAGTTCTTTTGTGGTTACGGTGAAGTAGTTTCCAGCAGCTTCACCGCGGATTTCGTGGTCAGCATAATACCCCCCCTCCCCCCTCGCATACCCCTTCCGCGCCCCCTCGCCCCATCCTTGACCTTCCCAGGCTTTTGCTTGGGCGCGTCGTCGATGAGCAGCTGGTCGAGGTTGAGGTTATCCGGCAGGATGTAGCACCGGATGTTGTTGCCTCTGATGGAGAGGCTGTCATATGTGGTCGGGTTCTTGCCCTTGGGCGTTACCTGATGAGGGGGCGACGGGACGTTGGTTGGGGGGGGGGGGGGGGGTACGATCAGGTCTAGGGAAAGCGAGGGTGGGAGGTAGGTGTATTTTGGGCCAAGACCATGCAACATTAAGTATATGCAGAAAGAAGGAGAGGAGAAGGACAGATACACATGGAGGGTAAATTTTGTTGGTCCGGTGTGATGGGTGGTAGGAAATAAACGCCAAGCCAAGAAGTTGTCGATACAAAAATGTTGGTGGGGGGGATGGTCGCGTGGGGTCAAAATAAATGTGGTAGTGCCCGTTTGTCTCGCCGTAGCCCAACTGGTAATAGAGGGTCCACACCGTTGCTGCCACGGCCTTGCCAAGACAACTCTACACCAGAGGGAGTGATGCCGGTTCCAGCGCGCTACTCCTACCGCGGCAAATACCGCGAGAGGCGAGAGGAGATACGGAAACCCGTAGATCGATCTTCAAGACTTGATTGCTCCACAACGAAGCTTGTGCCAAAACCCAAAATTGTGGCTTCGGAAATATCTCGTCGAGGGCTTTCCGTCGACGTATCTGGCTCCTTGCGCACCCCTTTGGTTGTGGAGCAGTCAAGCTTTGAAAGTCGGTCTAGGGGGGGGCTATCTCTCCGCCTCTTACGGAATACCACGGTACGGTGTACGGTACGGTACAGACAATCTTGGTTGTGGAGCAGTCGAGCTTTGGCAGTCGGTGTAGGGGGGGCGCAATCTCTCCGCCTCTTATGGTACGTGTATCAAAGAGAGAAGTCTCGGCGGCACTGATACCTGGCAAAAATATCGAAGGGTATTGCGACCGCCATCTACCACGGAGTCTCGGCGGCACTGACTGGATACCTAATCGCAGTGTCGAAGGGTGCTGCGACCGCCAATGCGTCAAGAAATTGCGCCCTGGTGGCCGGAAGAACTTGAAAATAATCGGTGGAGCTAGGTTTCATCTGATTGAGACCACCCCGATCGGCGCAAGTAGTCGCACCCAGCGATTCTCTCCAAAAAGGAGACAAGTGGCACAACCATGATGGTTTCCCCATCACGCAAAATACTTTGGGGTCGGTGAGCTTGCTGCCTGGGATACATATTGACTGTGTTCTTATTGATTTGTGGTTGGCAGGCACAAGAGCTTGTCTGTGGTTTCGGCGATCCTCGGGGCGACGGGTGCGATTGGGCTGCTGCCAGCATCTGTCTGTGGCGGGTAGCTCTATGTACAGCAGTATTAGGAAAAACAAATACAAACACAGAAAGACTACATTATTCCCGTTCGAGATATAACCACAGTCGAATGGGAGGTGTTGGAGTCTTTGTACTGAGTAGAGGGAAACCAGCTGGGTACCGGGCGTACTTCGAGTCTGCTGTAAGCCTAACACCTGTTGTACGGGAGTGTGCAGGTGCGGTGAAATCTGTCTCTCATCGTCTTTTGAGCGTTTGAAACGAGACAACCTAGATCGCGGATCGATTAAATGGGGTCGGAGGGGTGGAACGCGCACTGCGTTTGTAGTGAGAGTGAATACGTGTAGGCTGTGTGGCTACAAGCTGCGTTGGCTTGGAGAGCCAGACATGCAGCAGGAGACGTGAGTTCCGAAAATCTGCCCTGATGGTTTACGTGGGCGAGTCCGAAATTGCGCCGCATATTTTTGGTGAGGCGTCCTCTATCGCCGACACGTATCAAACTAACAGCAGTAGCGATGCCTCCCACCAATCCCTGAAACGCTTAGATGCAGGCAGTGTGCTGTCGTTGCTACCTACCCTGAAGCAACGCTACAATAGAACGGGCAACATCTGTCATGGATGCCCGCAGATCCACAATCCACCACACAAAGGGCGTGGGCGATAGCAGAGAGAGGCAAACACACGAACGTCGAAAGAGAGCAAACGAGACCAATACCCTCGCACAAAATAATGCCATTGCAGCGACAACAAGCACCAACAGCAGCAGCAAAGGCAGCAGTAGTTCTCTCTCTCTCTCTCTCTCACCTTGACGTTCTTGAGATGCGTGTTCATGCTGACATCCACCGAGGCCACGGTGCCGTGCACCGTCGTCCCGTTCTTGAGCTCGACGGTCACCGTCTCATTGTTCATCTTCATCAAGAACCGAACGAGCTTCATGGTAGCCGCTTCCTCCTTCTCCCTCTCCCCAGAGCAATGTCCCTAAACGCCTCGCCCTCCTCAAAGCCGAATGGATCCGTAGCGATTAGCTGCGCCTGCTTCTCCCACGCCTTTGCTCTCAGACCCCGTTTGCTGTTGCTCTCCTCGCCTGCTGCCTCTCGAAAATCCGCTACCGCACAAACTGGTTTTGGCGCCAACACGCGTCCCTCGATCTGTTGCAAAAAAAACTGAAAGGACAAGCACTAGTAGTGGCTGTTCGGAGTTGCGCGTTTCACTATGATCCTGTTGTTTGCTCAGCGTTGGTACGAAGCGGGCGTTGCCTCTCTCGCTGCCATGGACGACAGGACCTTGCATCCACGGAACCACCGTCCCCCTACTGAAGTAGCATCTGTTGTGCCCCCTTCATTTTTAAAAAATGTGGAACATTTCATGTGTGCGAATTTGAGTTGGATCGACCGTCTCATCGTCTCGCCTGCTCTCTCCCTATCGAGACCTCTCCTAGTCTCCTAGTTCTCTTGACCCTTGCGTCGTGTGTGAGGTGGGAGATTCGCAAGATTACCTCTGTAACGACTGGAGAAACATGCATGCTGGGATTTCGAGCGAGGTGTGTAGAGCTCGATACGATCATATCGCCTTCGCTCGGGGGAGCTCCAGCGACAGCAGTAACAGCAGCAGCAGCAGCAGCAGCAGCAGCAGCAGCAGGAGCACAGGCAATGCCGCATCCTGCAGAGAACGGAGGTGGCTACTCGAGCTTGGGGCGATGACTGTTCTGGAGGCGGAGCTAGAGACCTTGTCCGTGGATGAGGCTGCGTCCACAGCAGGAGGCGGTGGTCGAACGGAAGGCGGCGGCAGTCCCAACAACAGCAGTGCACGAGATAGAGAGTCCTACAAGTCGTGCCTGGAGGCCATGTTGGATGAGCATTACGATGCCTTGGGTGAGTGGTATGCATAATATGCTTCGCGAGGACTGGGGCCTGCTCTGCTCTGGTGCTGTGCCGAGCCCCCTCTCATCATGTAGCCTTGGCATCTGCCGCCTCGATGACGAACGACTGCGTATTTTCCTGCTGCTCATGGACGATTTGACATGTAGTACAATAGGAGCTCTCGCACGGCCGCTGGAACCTGAATGCGGCGTAATTGCAGCTAAGGTACAGTGTACTTGAGAGAACATTCTTGTACTGCAGTACACAGCCGATACTGCTGCAGAAGCTGTTGCAAATGGCAGCAGCACGACACGCGAGACCTGCTGATGCCTCTGTCATTTTTGTATTGTTGTTCTTGTTGTTGATGTTGTGGTGGGTGGGTGGTTTGTTGGTTTTCAGGCTTCGTCTACGTCATTGGCCTTCGCTGGATAGTTACAGCGCACCAGACAGGGCGACTGATGGCGCTCCTCCTGTGACATCGAGATCGAAGCAAGCGCGCACACGCATGAAAAACACAACACAGCACGCACCTTTTATTGAATACAACAACAACAACGCCTCCCAGTAGTCAGCAGCAATGCCAACCAACTTGACCCATCCCCCCCCCCCCCCCAAGGCGACGTCGACAACAATATCAACACCAGCATTCCCACCAGTCTCCTCGACACCATCACCAAGGCTAGTAGCACTGCAACACCCATCACCATCAGCGAGAAGGGCTGTAGTGGCGCCTTTCGCCCCGTGGAGGTGTCCACCATGCTAGGCGTTCTGCCGGGACTGATGGTGGAAAGAGATCCCCTCCTTACGTCGGCGAGAAGGTCATCCGCGGCGGCGATCGAAGGACAGGCAGTTGCGTCAGGGGCGGGGGGTGTAGGCGGGACTGTCGGAAGCAGTACCGAGGGCGGCGCTTCAGCGGCGACGACAAAACCAGCCTCCCAAGGCGGCGACTTTTCGCGTACCATCCCGTCTCTTCGCCGTGGCAACGCCAACAGCAGTGATGATGTCGCCAATGACGCCTCCGACAGGAAAGACCACCGTTTTTCACCAACAAACAGCAGCAGGAGCAACGGCAACAACCACGCCATCTCCCGGCCGCTGGAGACGCCTCAGCATCAGATTCGCCACGGGGCTACGGTGGCTGCCGATGGGGGACCGGTCAACCCCTACGCTGTGCCCCCCGCCTGCCGAAGCACCGGGAGGAGCACCAATAGCTCAGCGACAACTACTCCGTTCCCACCAAGCAACGTTCGAGGCGTGGCGAGGACGCCTGTCCAAGGGTTTCCGGGGTCAGGAGGGGCGGGTTTAGACGGGGATGAAAGGCGTTCCTCTCCACCCAACGGCTATGAAAATCGGGCACCCCCAGGCGATCTTGGCGCTGGTGCCAGGTGAGCTAGTGTTGGGAACCTACCTCAAGTTGCCCCTGTGGTATCGCTGGGGTCTTCCCCAGAGTTCTCAGGGGCGGGTTGGCTTGACTCCTCAGGGGGAAAGGTGCTGGCAACAGGAACTATTGCTTGTCCAGCACATGGTGTTTTGTGTTGCTGTGGTTGATATGACTTGGTTGTCGAGAAGATTCGACGGGATTGCAAGGAAATCATTTTCATTCGCGGAAATTCATCGGCGGCACATGTGGAAGGGCTGATGTCGTCTCCGTCTCTTACCACATCACAATCAGTATTCCTGGTGAACACGTACAAGAACTAGCAAGAACTAGCGACGGTTTAGTCGTTGTTCCAGCCTACTTGTATTGGATTGGGATAACAGAAGAACTGGCTCAAACGAGCAAAAGAGCAGACCTTTTGGTGCTGCGTAGCGTATTCCGTGACGCGAGGGCACGGTGACATGACCCGTTGATGGAGTGCTGACTGCGATTTCATGAGATAAAAACCAATCTGAACGAGCGTGGAGCCAACGTGAGTCCTCGAGGATCCACCACCTTGTGCCTGTGTCGACCTCTCCCGTCTGGAACGGAGAAACGGCTCCTTTCCTGCCACCCCTCTCCTAGTGCTGCTAGTTTATCCTACGTACAATTTGTATAACCCGCTGTACGCGGAATTCCGGTGCATAGCTTACTCTCGTGGGTCGTTCGTTGCGGGAATGCTTGCGGGTGTTCCAGACCTCCAGCCTGCGAGACGAAAAGTAAGCGGTTGCGAATTCGCTCAGCAAGATCTACTACTTCCTCTTAATTTTTTATTCTTTCTTTCGTCTGATGTTTTTTGTTTTTTTTTCTTGATTTGATGCCTCTGCGAAAAGGAACGTGTTTGGCGGCCCTTCTTCCGGGCCCGTTCGGTCTCAAGACCGGTCACGGCAACAGCACCATCAGCAGCAGCAGCAGCAGCAGCAGCAGGCGACGCCTCGCTACGGTGATCGAAACCCCTCCAGAGGAGCTCTTCTTCCAGCGGGGGGAGGAGGAGGCCGAGACCCGCACGCAACGGCAGACGCTTGGGCGGCAAGAGATCCGACTCCCGTCCGGGGAGGCTTGTACGAAGCGGGGGGTGGGATGGGCCCGGGGCACCTGCAGCAGCAGCAGCAGCAGCAGCAGCAGCAGCAGCACGGGAACGGTGCATTCAAGACCGCCAGAGAGCTGAGAGCTTCGGTGAGCTTGGACCTGCCATTCTGGCATTCCAACCCTGATTGTCTTCTGAATTACGACAATGATAGCTGTTCGATACAATTGGATTGCAAGAATGATAACGTTCGATGCAATTGAATTGCCAGAATGATGGGGTTTGAAGACTGCTCGTGAAGATTCTCCAACTTGGATTGGGGAACTCTTCGCGGCATCGTGGGCAGTGAGACCGAACCGTAAGCCCGGCCGTCTCGCAACCCAAGCGTTAGCTCCACTTGGATACGCACGTGTAAATTAGTAACGTTGGCGTCTGGCTGTGGGCTTCCGAAACGTTTGTGGGCGATGGGTGGAAGAAATCATTTTCGAATAAATACGGTGCGATGCTTTGAATATCCGATGTCGGTGTCATATTGTTTATGTTGTTTTTGTCCGGGCGCTGTGAATTGATCCTCTATGCGTCTCCCTACGTTAGGTGTACCTATGGCGTGGTGGTTTTCACGAACAGTGCGAATGCCAGCATCATAGAGAACAGCCACTTTTCTCAACGTTGAGACGAGTGAAGCCTCTTTTTTTTTGTTTCTTGACAGGTTGGGATGCCTTGCTTTCATTCGTTCTTGGCAACAGCGATCGTTTCCTGCAGTCACACGAAAGCATTGTCGTGGTAGTGCTGCTTTCGGTGGAACTTGGAAGGGTGGATTGATTCCGTGGAAGAAAAAACGAAACCAACAATAACCATGTTCCGTAATTATGAACAGGACATCGCTCCGGGAAGAAGTGGAGGCGGCAGCGGTAACGGCAACGACACCGCGAGGAGAAGAGGAGGGGAGCAGCAGCGAAGTTGGGACGGACGAGATAGCGGGAGAGGGGGGGCGTGGGGCGGCGGCAGCAGCGGCGGCAATCAGGGACAGCGTGTCGGCGGCAGCAACAACGGCTACAGCAACGGCTGCGGCGAGTTCGAGAACGGTTACGGCAGGTACAGCAACAGATGCTACAGCACCAGCACAGCGGGTGTAGGCAACAAGGAGCTCGGCATTCACCCCCATCGATGTATGTCCCCCGCACGGGGCCCGCCTGTAAAGGTGCACGGGCTCCTGCTGTGCCACTTCGGAAAGTATATGTAGATGGGACCAATTGAACTACCCCCCTCGTCCCCCCGCTCTCCAGACCGTATGACTCCCGCTGCTGTTGCACGAGAAGCCCGAGAGGGCTCCGCTCGTGTGCGAAGAATGATAGCAACGGTTTGGGCGTTGGCAATGGTACACGATGTCGCCCCTTGGCGTCATGTTCTTATTTTGGCGCTGTCTGTTGTTGATGATGACGCAGGTACGGCCGCAGTAGCAGCTTTGACGACGAGGCGAACACGAGGGGGGGACAGGGGCCTCCCATCCCCCCCCGGCTACCCAACGGGCCCGGCCTCGTTCGAAAACGGAAATTCGTTCCCCCAGGACGGCTTGATAACAACAACAACAATAACAACAACAGCGGCAATGGTAGCGGGGCGCATGCTTCAGGCGGAGGCAAGTTCCCCGGATCAGCCGCTCTTGGCGGACGAGGGGGCGGCAACAACGGCGGTAGCAAGGGCGCAGGCGGCGGCGGCGGAGCGGATGGCGAGGAGGAACTGCCGGAGGAGTTGCAGCACCTCGAAAAGGCCATGGTGGATAAGATTCTGCAGGTGAAATGGTTGGCTAGGGGGGTAAGACCCGGTGCAGGGTATGGGAGTCGACGGGGTGGAGTTTTTGGACGAGAGTGCGTTGGAAATATTTTGATCGGCACACGCTTGAGCAAGCGTCAAGTCTGCCTCTGTCATAGCATATCGCAAGAGAGGCCATGGACGGTCTTTTCCTTTACCCAGAGAGCGAACAATAGATTGGTGCTATGGTAGGAGGGTGCACTTCTGTGATGAAACCTTACACGTTTGGGAGAAAACGTGTGGTCCTGCTTCGTTGATCTTGCGGCGAAATAGGACGCGGCCAACCCAACAGGGCTGCGGGTTTGCCCATCTCCCTACCCGGAAGTGTGGGATGGAGTCAGGCCGTATATTAACGAAGTGCCAAAAAAAAAAAAATCAAAATCGAGATCTGATTGGTCGAGTATCTGCTACCTCCTGACGGCGCCCTTTGATTTTATGGAAGTTCCTCTGTCTGGGAAGAAGGAAGAAGTCCCCGGGGGACTATTTTTGATCAAAATCAATATCATAGAGGCAAGGAGTTCAAGACTTCGAAGGCCTGGAGCACCTGCCGCGAGGCCGCTGCAAAGCAAGTGTACGACACGACCTGCTGTACACTGCTCATAGAAGGGCTATCGGCACCCTGACACCGACACCATGGCCGTTATTTGTAGCCAGAAGACTCTGCTAGCCGGCAAGCCAAAAACCGGGCCGGCTCGTTGGGTGCTCGAGGAGAAAATGCCGATCGTGACAAGCGGTGAACGGACTTACGATCAGAACAAGGCTGCTCGGCTTTTTCGGGCTGTTCCGTGCGGGATGCGGTAGTTGCAACCTTTTTCTCCACATTCACGATACCCCAAGGCATCTAACCTTGCACGAGAAAGATGGTGGGTAGAGCTACCTCCCGCCGCGTGGCGTTGCTGTTGCGGTTGCTTCCTCCTTCGGAAAGTTATCGGTGGATAACCGAACCCGTGGCGGCCCAAAACACCCAACTTGCAGTGACCGCTCGCAACCGTTGCCATTTTTGCTTCAGCACAACCTTTTGTTTCCGGCGCATTCGGCACCTCACGGCGCCAAACCTTGGCATTCCCCAACAGCCCATGTTACCAGCTCCTTCCGGATACCAATCTTGAGGCAACTCGTTGAGTATTTGGCGAGATATCGGCTAACACGTGAACAGAAGAGCGCAAAACCCACTCTAGAAAAATCACCGCTGCGCTGCTGGCTCTTCCCCTGATGCCAGGTCTTTTTGATTTTTTGCCTCATCTGTCTTCTATCTTCGTTAACATACACGACCCCCTTTTTTCAGTTTTCCACGATAAGGCATTTTGATTTTGAGATTGTCCACATTTAGATTTAGATTTTTGGCCCTTCATTAATATACGGCCTCACCCCCTTACGGTAGCATCACTCGAAATAAACGTTTTGTATGTGTGTGTTGATGTCGGGAACCAGATGAGGCCACAATACAAAGCTTCCCAAGTTGTAACACTCCAACCACGTTGAGATAAATATTCCATGCTGTGTCTGCGTAAACCAAAAATCAAAACAAAGACCATGGATCCCTCCATGCGGGATCATTGGGGTCAATTTTGGTCCCGGAGGGGGGGTATTACATGGTTTCCACATGGTGGAGGGCTTGCAAAAGCCACCGACGCATTAAAAGCACGATTGGGCCGAGCCCCGCCCACAGTCTACCGTCGACCCCAATTATTTTCGCGACTTATCGATCAACCCTTGTGTCGTGACTAAGTTTTAGTCTACCATCGACCCCTCTAACTCGTGGCTAAATTTGAATCTACGGTCGACCCGTATTTGTGTCGTAAATCTACTATCGACCACATCTGTTTCGTGTATTTCAATCGTCCATTGCATACAGGAGGTGCAGCAGAAGGGGGACCCGGTCACGTTCGACCAGATCGCCGGCCTTGAGTTCGCGAAGAAGAGCGTGATCGAGCTGGTCTGCTGGCCTATGGAGAGGCCGGACATCTTCACCGGGCTAAGGTCTCTGCCAAAGGGGCTGCTGCTCTTTGGACCCCCAGGAACAGGTGAAGAGCTGCCACACATTGGTAGAGTGATTCGAATACTTGTTGGTTTCTACTGGCTTGCGGACCCTTGGGGTCCATTTTTGTTAGGTTGCCTTTTTTCAGGGTAAGTTGGCCTGTGACCACGGGAATCGATCGCGTCAAGTGTTGGAATAGTCCAACGTACTGCATAGAGACATCGAAATGGATTTAAGTGTGAAGATACAACAACGACCACAACAACGGTAGGGGGGTCACATCATCTTGCACTTTCGGGCAGGAAAAAACAAACTCTACTTAAAACCTTTTGCTTGTGGCCGCGTCCTGTGTCACCGTAAGATCGAAGAAACCGGACTACACGTTTGCTCCAAAAGAAAAAAAAATCAGCCCAAAATTGCAGCCCCCTACCGAAGCATCACGCCATGCCAGAACGCAATTCTATTCGAAGGACCTGGGAAGTAAATAAATTCAGGCTACAAGAACAAAAGAAGATATTTCGAAGAACATTTTACATGCTACGCCAAGAACGAAGAGAGAAGTCATCTGTGTCAGAATCCTGTCGCCCTGAAGAGGGTACACAGATGTAGCAAGAGAAGACGCAACTTGACAAATAACCGTTTATAAAGGTGATTTGTGTGTCATTGATACCCATGTGGATTATGTTTTTTTTTTTTTTCCATGCCTCCAGGCAAGACTCTGATTGGCAAGGCCATCGCACACCAGTCCGGAGCGACGTTTTTCTCCATCTCCGCGTCGTCTTTGTGCAGCAAGTGGATCGGCGAAGGGGAGAAGATGGTGCGAACCCTCTTCGCTGTTGCTGGATACCATCAGGTGAATACTTGCTGTTCTTGCTGCTGCTTGCTGCTGCTGCTGCTGCTTGCTTGTTGAAAACTATAGTGTCATCGTGCTATCAGGTGAATACTTGCTGTTCTTGCTGCTTCTTGCTGCTTGCTGCTTGCTGCTGCTGCTGCTTGCTTGTTGAAAACTATAGTGTCATCGAGCTTGCTGCTTGCTTCTTGCTGCTTGCTGCTTGCTGCTGCTGCTGCTGCTTGCTAGTTGAAGGCTTGTAGTATTATCGTTCGTCGTTTGGAAATCGCGTAGTACCCTAGACCATCGTTAGAGCGGAGAGCGCGTGCTGCGGCTGTGATCGTTCGGAAGCCTTGTAATAGCCTAGGCTAAAATCGGCAGAGCGCAGGGCTCGTTGTTTTTTTCTCTCCAGCCGAAACTTACAGCATTGGTGCATCCCCCCCCCCCTCCTCGGCGTACGAGTGTCTAGCCAGCCGTGATCTTCATCGACGAGGTGGACTCGATGCTGTCCATGCGGAGCGCGGACGAGAACGAGGCTAGCCGCCGCCTCAAGACCGAGTTCCTCATTCAGCTCGATGGCGCTGGGACAAAGTGAGACCCAAACTGCTTGCCCGATCACTGCGGGGCGTTGGTGCTGAATGAACGCTTTGTGAGCCTTGGTGCTACAAGCGGAATTTCGATTTCTACCCTACCTTTCGCTACTTGTGTTGGACGCGGAGGATAACGTCTGCCTGCCGCCAGCGGATATGGGCCCTTTTGCGTACGAGTACTGCCAGCGATCGTGGGCCCTTCTGCAATCGAGTACGGCGGTAATTGTTTTGACTTGTGGCCAAGTTTTTGGGTTGGCATTTGGCTATGGGCTCCGCCTCTCCTAGCTCTGTAGTTCCCTCTCTGTCTCCGGAGACGTGCCTTTGCCAGGCTTGTGTCTCGCCAACATCGACGTTCTCCTGTTCGCCGCTTTTGGTGTTGGGTAGTGACGGTTGACGGGTCCCTGTGGTGTTCGAACGTCCGCAATTCAGTCTTCATTGTTGACGCTCAGCTGCACTTTCGAACCTTGAGATGGTTCATCATGGCGTACTGACGGTCGCAAGCCGCCCTGCCTCTGCCAATGATGCGTCAGAGCCGCCGATCGTGTGCTGGTCGTTGGCGCTACCAATCGGCCTCAAGAACTGGACGAGGCGGCGAGGAGAAGGTAAGGTGTGTCCCTCTCGTTCATTCCATCATCCGTCCCTCTCTGGGCAGAGCAGTGTATATGTCATCAACATGCGTCGATACATATCGCGAAAATCGCGGATCGATGGTATCTTCTACTCCTCACGTGACAGCTCCGTCTGTTGTAGGAGCGAACATTGATGTCGTTCAATCCAAGGTGTCGTCTTCTGACACCTCGAAGGCCCTGTAACATGGGCAGCATTTTGTGATGGTATGGGCTTCAGCGCACTAGGTTGGCAGGCTACATACTTCGAACGAGGATGACCCTCGGGCCTGAAATTTGGAGACACCACAGGCTTGAGTGTCTTTTCAGTTTTTCCACGCCACCTTAGGTGAGGGAAGCCCACAGATATTTTTATGTCGGAAACCAATTCTGAACGATGTTCGACCAGGTTCGTCAAACGACTTTATGTTCCTCTGCCGGACAAGTCGGGTCGCCGTCAGCTGATGAACATCCTCCTCAAGACCAGCGTCAGCAGCCTCACCGCAGAAGACGTGGAGACAGTGGTGGAAGGGACCGAGGGTAAGACCAAAGAACTGCATGCGTTGTTGGTGTTGGTGTTGGTGTTGTTGTTACTGTCTTTTCTGGCTCCTCTGGCGGTAATGGTTGTCCACGCCAGCATGTAGTTCCTCCCGCGGGGCAACTCTTGTATAGGCGAGGTCGAACATATTTGTACAGTCCTCGAGACATTAGGGCCCGCCCCCTTGCAGACGTCTGCAGGGCATGCATGCCTCCAAGCTTACCGCGAGAAGGATTTGTGGGGCAATGAAATCGCCTTTCCCTCTCGTCGACGAGCACGAACAAGGCCGTTTTCTTCCTTTTGTTCGCGGTTTCATAGCCCTCGACACCGTCCAGTTAAGCGGCGAGCCTCTCTTCTTTTACAACGCCATTCTGGATGGCCCTCGGCCCTTCCGTACCGCTCAGCCTTGGCCTATTTTTTTCCCCCGATGTTATGATATCTTTCCACAATACGATTGACGGCGGCTATCAATAGGTTACGTGGCAGCACACCACACCAGTGTCCCCCCAACCTCGCTGTTGCCCTTATCGTGGATGGCAGGTTTTTCAGGGGCAGATCTCCACGCCCTGTGCACGGAGGCTGCGATGGGGCCTGTCAGAGACTTGGGCAGCAACATCTGCAGCGTCAAGGTGTCCGACGTTCCCCCCATGGAAACCCGGCACTTCACGGAAGCCCGGCAGTCCATGCGCCCCAGCGTTGGCGCGGAAGAGATCACTCACTACCTCAAGTGGAATGAGGAGTTCGGCTCGTTCAAGCGGATGTAGCAACTGATGAGCTCTACAGGCAGTGTACGTTGGTGTTCGGGATACCGGTTCAGTAAACCTGAGTGGAATTTGGAATCATGCCGAAGAATAAATGCGCTCCACCACTTTTTTTGCTTCTTTTCATTTGTGCTGTTTTCCGCCGTCTAGATAGACAAGATATCTCATCTGGGCACCAGTCTGTATGTAGCTTTCGGTATATGTTTGACTGTTTGACTGTTTGGCGTGCTGGTGAGGTCGCACAAATATTGTAGTACTAGGCAAGGGCTATTAGCCAGGACGATTGTCTTCTCCTGTCGTGGGATTCCACGCGTTGAAAATCACGAAGGTGCCGCGGGACTGTCCACGTGTAGCGTGACAATCACGATGTCAGTCGGAGGTTGCCCGCTCTGCCCTGCAGCGTGTTGTGCTCCTACGCATGGGCCCCTCTTCCCGTCGATTGAGGTACAGCATCTTTGTTTGTGAAGCCTCAGACATCCATGCACACCACCGCGTCACGTTACCGGCTTGGTTCCGCCTTGATGTACGTAGACCTGCAATTCTGTGGTGGGTATCTTCGCTGTACGTGCTTCTGGCTTGCGTCGCGGCCCATTCGTTCGTTGTGTGGCGAAACATGTAGTAGGTTTCTGTGTGTTGGTGCCTGCATTGTCGCGGTTAGGCTCCCTCTCGTGTGGTACTCGTTGTTGTATGGTGTACGAATACGAAGTATATATGCAACGCTCCCCTTCGAGAGTTAGGTGTCTTGCCTCACGGGGGCGACGCAAGACGACATCACCAATACCATCGCGGCTGCATCGCTGCATCTCGACGTTCCACAATTTGCAGAACTTCGTCATGTGCGAGGTGGTTATTTGTTTTATCCCACCATGGCTTTTTGCGTGTGCATGGGTGTGTGATTTTTTCTGGCAGAATATTTGCCGTATGTGGGAACGGATGTCGCATGAATCAAAAGTCTTCCTGTGCCTGTATTTGCAGACACGTGTTGTATGTAGTTCCTGCGACGATTTTTTTTGGTTCGGAACAGCTCCCCGCGAACTAGAGCCAATCGCGGTTGCATCATAATAGGCGTCATTTGAGCGTGGCACGGATACCTTGCGGCCCTCGGGCGTGCTTGGAAATATGCCGACGAGCCTCCTGCGTACCCCTGGGAAGAACCCTGAGAATTGACTCGCTGCCGCGAGAGAAAGAAACGAAATGATGCAAACAATAAGACAAATGTAATTATTGGGCAGTGAAGCCCCCCCCCCCGCCCACGTGGCCGGCGGGGCCCGAACCGCAAGGCGAATGGGGGTAGGAGTGCATTGTACGAAGAGAGCTACGAAGATGGTACACAAAGCCTCCCACTTCCTGTGCAGGAAGCAGGCATGCGCCTTCCCGCGTTTGTCAATGCAAGTCAAACGGAGACACAATGACCGTGGAAAGAGCAGTGGACGGAGAAGAATTGATGTCGACTATTCGTAAGGTGGGAGTTTTGAAGGCTGACCCCCTGCAGAAGTTTCGTGTTGCCAATGGAGGAGGATCTCCTCTTCCATGCTCGCGGGAGTGAATACTTTGTGAACGAAGAAACAACGCGTCGAGCATGTCGTCATCGAAGTTGTTCTTCGGTGTGGACATTGGTTGCTGTAGAGATATATTCACAATAAAGGGCAAGTAGGGGTTAGTGGAGATGGGGGTTAGCATGCATTGAACGCAACGGTTGAGTTGGGGCACTGTCTGCGGTTGGAATAGAAAATATGAACTGACCGTGATGGGTTGCTGGTCTTGAAAGGATATGTCGTGGACCGCATCGACGTCTACAAAGTCGGCATTGGTGGCGTGCGAGAAATGACGTGAAGCAGAGTGCAACAAAGAAAGGGAAGGATGGAACTACTCTATGAGGAAAAGGTGTCGACTGTTCGCAGCTCGAGTGCCATCTTTGGTGATTAGTGGTTCAAATCGACAGTAGATTCCGTAACGATGGGAAACCCGTCGCAACACCGTCCGTAGTTTTTTCATGATTTCTTCATCGAAGTGACCGTACGCGCTGTGCACTCACCATTGCACGTTGGAACGCGTGCCTTCCCTCACGGGGTGATTAAGTCTGGAGTGCATAGAGATGGGGCGGCGCAAAAAAAAACATATTCGCCAAATTCGGAGTGAGCTCTGAGACTCAGAGTGAGAGTATTTTTTCGGAACACGGGAAAATCAAGCAATCGATTTCTTCAGACGTGTAAATTTCTACACCTACTCCTGCTGTGGACCACCTGCAAAAGAGACAAACAACATTGAATGAGCACCTACAAAACATTGACAGCCTATATTGTAACCTCTCCCATTCACAAGCCCAACGCACAGTTGAAAAACGTTCGCCAACTTAGACGTACTGCACGCTGCTTGGTCACAACACAAAAATGGGGCTCTGCGACGCTTTGACATTATTGGGTCTTTGATCATGACTGACTCATGTCTCGATCGCCCGATCATGACCCGATCATGACCCAATCATGACTGTCTTGACCCAAGGCATGACTCGATGTGACCGAGTCATGGCCATGATCGGGTCATGAACCAGTCGATGACACGGAGTCATATCTCGATTGTATGACCTAAGTCGTTCCTCGGTCATACTTCGGTCATTCTTCAGTCATGTTCTGGCCATGACCGAGCCATGGGCACGGTGGCGACCGAATCACGAGTTATGGCTTGGTCAGCTTCAACCTTTGTCACTCCCTTGAGGCCATGATCACGATCACGAGCAACAATAATTGCTGCTTTGGGTAATGATTGCTGCCACGAGCTAAGATATCACTCGCTTGGGTTCATGATCACGAGTTCGAGCTAATAGATTCACTCCATTAGGGCAACGATCATGATCACGAGGAAACACGTTCGCTCCTTGGCGTAGTCATTGCGATCATGAACTATCAATGTCAATCCGTTGGTGTCATGATTACGATCGCGAGCAAATGTAGATTCACTCCCGTGTTGTGATGTTCATGATCACGACCAACAATATATACTCGCTTGGAGTGATGATCGCGCCCACGAGGTTTGATGTCACTCATGTGGGGCCATGATCACGATCTCGAGCAAACTGATTCACTCCCTTGGGGTCGTGATCGCCATCACGAGCAAGCACATTTTCACATTCACTCGCTTGGGGGTTGTGATCGCGACTACGAGCAAATATTGTCACTCGCCTGTGGGCCGACAAACATTTTTCCGACTCGACCTAGATGTACCTCAAGTGCTTGATTGGCTCCCTCGTTGAATACTTCGGTAATCTCGGATTTGAGACGCATCTAGATTTCGGAACGAAATCGAGAAGAGTCAGATATTCCAGAAAGGATGTTGGAAAATGACCCCACCTAGTTCAGTCCCCCTTTTCTCTCCCGAAATACGCCGGAGCTATAGAGGAGAAGGGATATATTCGAGAGTCGTAACATGCCGCCTCGCAACACGCGGCGCGCCACGGCGGCGGCTTCGGCGGCTGCTTCTCCTATAACGGCTTCCTCAGCGGCGGCGCCTTCTTCCTCAGCGGCTGCTGCCCCGGCGGCGGCTGCCGCGGCCCCAGCGGCTGCCAGCGCGCCGATGGGACCGCTTTCCCCGCCTCCACCTGGGCTGCCTCCCCGGCCCGACCGCCAGACGGCCGCGTTTGTGGACGCGACCACGGCGGCCTACGCTCTGCCGTGCTACACGGCGCTGGTGCCGGGAGCCGGGGCAACGCTGGACCTTGGGCGGGTGTTCGACCGCAACCGGCTCGGTTGCGATCAGGGCACTGTGGAGGAGTTGGTCCTCCGTTTGGGTGAGGTGGCCACTCGGCTGCCGCCCCTTGCCGGGGCGGAGACCTACACGGCAGTTTTGGCGCGCGCCAGGAAGGTGGCCACTTCGCGGGCGGGCGACAAGTCCGTTGCCTATCGCCAGGCCGAGGCGAAGAAGCTCTTGGCCGAGTACACGGTGGAACTCGCGCTCCGCCATGGCCGCCTCTTGCAGTCAGAAGGCTGTGTGCTGCTGGAAGCAGTAGAGGACGTTGTTCTGCCTGCTCACTTCGGAGGTTCGGCGGCGCGGTCCGCGACGGCAGCGCCACCGGCGGCTGCTGTCGCCCCGGCCGCCGCCCCGGCGACGTACTTATCTGATGCGGAGCTGGCGCAGCGAATGCAAGCACAGATTGACCTGAGTGGGGGGCCGAGCGACAGCAGCGGGAGGGCGGAGAGCCCGCACGAGAGGGACGACCGCGAGCTGATCGCTCTGCTGACTCGAGCGCACGCAAAACCAGAGGTGCGCTGCTCAATATTCAATATTCTATAAAATATGCAAAGTGTTCAAAAAAAAAAAAAAAAAAGGGGGCACATTTCTGTTGTTGTTGTTGTTGTTGTTGTTGTTGTTAGGTTGTGCGAATCCTCACGCCCTCTCGTGCATCTGAGGACGAGCTACACGCGCTTCTCTTTAGAAGACTACGATGAAGGTCTGGTCGTACCATACTGGTGGTTCACACTTCGATGTCGGGGGTGCATGTGTACTGTATGCACGTCGAAAAAGAAAAAAAAAAAAAAAAAAAAAATCGAAGCCCTTCTTGGCACGGATCTACATGTGTACATATATACTGAAGTATGTATTCTGCGGACACTAACAGAATGTGTGCCCACAACAACCAACCATGGCTATCTGGTGTTTCATGTTGCCGCTCTATTGATAAAGGCCTGCCGCTGTTGCCCGGTCCTCACATCGTACGTCATACCTTACGAAACATCATGAATGATTGGTGGCATACATATGTACGTAGCCCGTCCATAGTTCCCTCCATCTGTAGTGGCAGCTGCGGCAACACACACGCACAGCTTGTTGTTGTCCGTGACTACGGTTACACCTTCTGGCTGTTACCGCGGTGTGGTCATTTCA